TTAAAATGTGGATTTCCAAAACTGCTACTAGAAGTAAATTGCAGCCTACCTTGGTGGGGGGAGCGGGGGTTAATGCATTAAATATTTAAAAGATTACTGAAGTCCAGTAGTTTTGAGGAATTAATCAGCTCCTGTGTGTTAATCATAATGTAGAAATAAGAAAAGTCCTTTTAGCACTTCTGGGCCCTGCTGAAAAGTAACTAACTTATATGTGTATAGAACTGTAATTTACCAGCGACTGTCCATTCAAATCCAGCAGTAGTGATTTCTCTTTTCAGCTACAGTCCTTGATGAGTACCAGTCAGGCTCTTTTCCATTTCAGGGATGTTTTTGTAAAGCTCCCTAGGCTTTTAGAAGGGAGAGTCGAGGTATGCTTCTCACTGCTTAAACAGATTGCTCTTTGCAGGAGGATAGTCTTAGATTCATTCATGGACTGTATGCTATTTTCTAGTCTTACGGTCATAAAGACAGACATAAAATAAAGGAGGGATACGTGTGAGCAGAAGCCAGCCTGAAGCGTATGTGTGTATACAGGTGCCTGCCTGTGTTTAGTCTCCTAGAACATTGTGACAGGAAGGTCCAATTGCGAGATGACTTCCCCTACCAAGCAGTTAGTTTAACTGTTTCATATTCACCTGCCTCATAGCTGGAGGCAGGCCAGAGGGGCCCGGCAGCCAGGGTAAGAAGGACAGATACAAATTCATTGTGTACTAAGGGAGTGCGGCTGGGAGTGGGAATTGGTGGGGACAGCAGTTGCTCAACAGCCTAGTGGCCTGTTTCATTAATAATGGACGAGTGGTATCATTTCCACTTACAATTGTCACTATATTTAATGATTACATTGGGAACATTTTTCTCTCTATAAAGTGAGTTTAGTTTAAAAATCTACCTTTTCTCACTAGGTAATATCTCATTTCTTCCAACTTTGTACCAAGTCTCCATTAAAAATCATTAAAATAATAATTTATTATTAAAAATAATAATTATAACAATTGAAACCATTGCAAAACCTCACTGACTCTTGGAAGTCTACATACCCCAGTTCCCATGGGGACTGTACCCACAAGTGATGTTCAAGGCCACATCCAATTGAAAGCACTTATTAGTTCTGAGGAAGAGCTCAGGAATTCAGAATAGGATTCCTTTTACTTTAAGGCTTTGCCATCCCCTTTCCACATCTGCTTTAGTTTGGGGTCTGAGTATAAAAGGGAGAAGACTGGAAGCCCATGCTTCTGCAGGGGTTCAGCCCCAGTATTCCTGAAATTAAGTAAGAGTTAAACACCGATATCCATTTAAAGACGGGGTTTGAGCATTTAAGAAACTAATCTCAAATGTATTTATGTCTTAAATGTGTACTTCATGGATAGGAAAAAAAAAAGCCTCCTTTATTATGATTATTTGATCTTGGGGCTGTTTGCTTCTCTGTGACTGGTCACAGCTGTGACTGGGACACAGCTAGTCACTGTTGCAGTCAGGATTTACAAGGCAGCTGGACAAAAGCATCTTAGCTTCAGAGCAGATGAGCCATGGTTTAATCCTGACTCAGTGACTTAACCAGCTGGGGGACTTTAACCTCTGTGAGCCTCTGTTTCCTGACCTGTCAGGTGATGACTCCTCTCCCCCATGCTGTTATGACTAACACAGGTGACCTATCTAACGCACCTTGCACAGCATCTGACAAAGTTGGAGATGTTCCTAGATAATGGAATTCTTGACCCCATGCCTGCCCATGGGCTGTAGGACGGTGGTGACTTTTGGCCTCCTTTGATTAGGCTTTCATTTCCCTGTAGATGGTTTAAGCATAATTTTCAAAACAGCCATTTTGGTGATTTCCACATTTTGATACGAATCAAAATTCTCCGTGAGACTTCTTATGCTAGAGCGTGAAGAATGCCATCTTTGTCATTTGAGGGGATAGTCCACTGCAGTTAACAGGAGAACTAGTGATTGCCTAGTGAGGTGGGCGCAGTTTCGGTCCTGTGTGTCCCAGAGGGGCTGTCCTGTGATCTCCGGTTCCACAGACCTCAAGGGGGGACTCCTTTTTGATATCTTACCCAGACAAGGTAAAGGTTATGAAGCCTTTGCTTTGCTGCTGCATTTCTCCTATAAAAGCTTTAAAGCCATCCAGGCCATCCTTGAAAGTAAAGGAATGTACATCTTCTGCAGAAGTCATTTGAATTTCAGCTTTCCCTTTGCTTTTTCAAAGCCACTCTTAGAAAGGTGTTTCGTTGTCCTCCTAAGATACTTCATAAAATGTTAATCCTCTCAGTGTTTTATGTGGACGATGAAGGAAGAGATCCCCTTTTCCTTAGCTTTATCTCTTTCTTTACTTTTGTTAAATTTCATGGAGATGGTCAGAAGCTATTAGCTTTATTTGGGTAAGGAACATTTTTGAATGAAATTTGTCATTTGAAACGTAGCTTTTTACTTTTTCTGCCAAAAGGTAGTTTCAGCCATGTGTGTGTGTATGTTGCCATTGTAAGTACTAACCTGATTCTCTGGAAGGTAAAAGAAACAACTAGATTTGAAAAGATTTCCATAAATATGTGTATGGTAATATTGGACTATGTTTCTTGATCACCTAAATTAAAGAAATAAGAAATAATAAATCATCTTCAATTCAGAAATAGAATTACCAAATAAAATTACTGAGTAGAATTATGGAACTATATGGTATCCACCATTTATTTCTTGAACAATAGGATCTTGCATGTTCTAAGCATGGTTCCTCCTTTCCTTCCTTCACATCTTGCCACCTCTGTAGAGGCTGGAGAGAGGGATCTAGGATTCTAAACTGTGTAGGCCAAATGTTCATCATAAGCAGAATTACTGAACTATGGAGAAGGAGATCTAAATGTTCACTCTTGCTGCCAACTAACATTTGACCTGGGCAAGGAATTTTACCTCTCGGGCCTCGGTTTTCCTTGCATGAAAAATGCTGATGTAGATGCTTTCTCAGACCCGCTCAGTTCTTCAGCCCCATTCACTTTTATTTCAAATACCGATCACATAGATGACTATGATTTTAAGTAAACTTAATATCTGAAATTTCCAGCATTTCCCCAATCTACACATCTAATGCCTGTTAACCTTAATTAAATCCCCTCAGTCTTTGAGGGAAAGATTTCTATAGTTTTGATGTTTTTGTTTTTATTTCCCCAGAGTACATTTGCTCAGTACATTTGCTAGTATGTCTCCTGCAGTGGCCTGGGCAATATTAGTAAATAAAAAAATAGAACTGTTCTTTGATAAAGTTGATAGTTGAACTGGAAACACCTTAAATATGAAGCAAAAATGGACTACTTAGAACAGATTATAAAAAGTAAAAACAGGGAGGTATCTGGCTGGCTCAGTTGGAAGAGTATGTGACTCTTGATCCCGGGATTGTGAGTTCAAGCCCCATGTTGGGAATAGAGATTACTTTTTTAAAAAAATGATTCCTTGGGGATATGGACATTGGGGAGGGTATGTGCTATGATGAGTGCTATGAAATGTGTAAACCTGGCGATTCACAGACCTGTACCCCTGGGGATAAAAATAAGTTATATGTTTATTAAAAAAAAAAAATAAATTTAAATTAAAAAAAAAAGATGGGTGAAAATAGAAAAAAAATGATTCTTTTTTTTTTTAAAGATTTTATTTATTTATTTGACAGACAGAGATCACAAGTAGGCAGAAAGGCAGGCAGAGAGAGAGGAGGAAGCAGGCTCCCTGCTGAGCAGAGAGCCCGATGCGGGGCTGGATCCCAGAACCCTGAGATCATGACCTGAGCCGAAGTCAGAGGCTTAACCCACTGAGCCACCCAGGCGCCCCCCCCCCCAAAAAAATGATTCTTATACATATCACCTGCCTTTGCTTTTTATAAGGACTTCTTCTTGCTACCACTATGCTCATTTAATCCTTTCCCCAATCCTGGAAGGTAAATGATCACCTCAATTTTACAGCAAAAACTAAGGCACCAAGGAAAGTTAAGTGAATTGTCAACAGTTACTCTTCCATTCAAAGGATTTAGACAGGGTGCTGTTCATAGAATCCTCAGGGTCCTCTCATGGGTGAGTAGATTAAGTATTGAGAGGAAAAGTAGGAGTGGTCTGGAGTGGGAAGATGGCTTTGGACTTTTTAAGCAGACTTGATTTTGTTTAAGAAGCAAAAACAAAAACAACAAAAATTAGTTTCTTAATTTGGCAATTGGCATTTGTCAGTGTCACTATAAATTGAAATTTTCCCCCCCACATACAGCATACCTTTCAGGCAGCCTAGAAGTGGAGAGTCTGGAGAGTCTTAAGTGAGAAAGCTCATTTCAGGAGAAAACAGTATCACATGATTGTATGCTTTGGAGAAAACAATCCGAAAAAGAACTAAAAGTGGGTCAAGTGTTGAGGATTGCTCAGCTGGGCTCAGAGTGACTGGCCCAGGGCCGGTGGAATTGCAGGGGGAGTAGCCTGGATGTGGTGGGGCGGATTGTTTTTTTCTTGATGGACTGTAGTTTCTCTCCTTTCGACTCGACTCGCACTCAGGGTATTCCAGACTGCCGGCTCTGGGAGAAGAGGCCAGGTTCTCCCCCTGCCTGCCCTCCCTGGAACGTCTCAGGTGCAGGGCCGTGCCGGTCCTCCTGCCAGGTGGGTCCCTGCGACTCTGGGGTGGCAGGGATGCCTGCAGGGCTGAGCTGTGTGACTGAGTGCGGAGTGAGACGTGCGGGTCCAGCGAGGCCTGCCTTCCTTCATCCAGGGCCTCGCAAACATTGTCCCGATTGAAAACCCGGCCCCCCAACAAAGAAGAAGTCTTCTTGCCTTGAGCCCCTGGCCCCGTCCCGGCGGGTGCACTGCCCTGCCGCCGGTGCGGGCAGAGCGGGGCGGGAGTAGAGAGGAGAGGAAGAAGGAGCCTCGCAGCATCCTGGCCGCCTCCCTCCCTGGGCTCCCGCCCGCTGCGGTGAGTTCCAGACTGGAGCCCGCGGCCGCCGGCGGTGCGGGACGCTCGTAGAGCCGCTCCCACTCCTCCTGGATCCGGACAGGTCAGGGTTGTCAGGGCAACTGTGCACAGCGGCATCTCGCCGCTTCCCCTCTGTGCCGTGTGCGGAACAGCTTACTGTGCCGCGGCGGGGGACAAGCCTGGGGACAGGTGCCGCGGGGGGAAGAGCCGGGATCTGACTGCACAGGTTAGGCAGCGGACGGAGGCAGCGGACTCTGCGTGCCTTTCCTGGGGCTTTTCCGGAAGGAGAGTGCGCGTGCGTGTGTGGGGAGCGCGTGTGCAAGCAGCGGGCTCCAGCCAGCCACATGCCCGGGGGGAGTAAGTGGGAGGGGGCGCGGAGGGGAGGTGGGGGGGCTGCTGCTAGGTGAGGGGGAACTGCAGGGCCTCAGTTGCCAAGTGGCTGGTAGTATCTGTCAGCTGTTTGCACACTGTTTACCCATAGGGGATCTATTACAAGTGCTCAAATGAACCGGCCGCTTAGAAACTAGCAGCTTCCTGGGAGCTGCAATTACATAAGCATATATTTTTAATATAATAATAATTAAAAGAACTAGTAGCCGCGGTATGCCTGGATCTGCTACAGCTATCCGACAAGAGAGACTGAAGAAGACCAGTGCAAGGCCAGTTCCCCTTGGTTTATTCACCATTAACGAGGAAGAGGAACAGCAAAAGAATGGAAATTCCAGAAGACCAAAAGGTATGCATTAGCTCTACCCTTTGGTTGGAACCAGCCCCTATTTCCCACATCCTCTGTGGCACATTTACAAACTGTGTGCACACGGTGTGGAGTGCTTGTGACCCCCTAGCAGTTTGCCGGTGGTATTTACACATTCTGTAGAACTGTGGATGCGTGAAATGGGGAACAGATTTTGCAGATTTGGTAGCTTTCAGATCAGCTGACTTTCTGACCCTCACTGCTTTCTTGGCTTAGAGATCTTTAATTTTCTCATGCTCACTTGAACAGTTACCGATGACACTGTCCTAGCAATAGGAATAAGAGTCGTCCAGGTTTAAATGAACACCTCCCCACCTTGCTTAGGTGCATTGGTGATTTCTGTTTAATAAGGACAGTTTCTCCTCTGAAGGGTATGAGTTAAAGTGACCGAAGAGTGCAGCCTTTCCAAGGGCAGAGAGTCAAGACGTTCCTTCCTTCCTTTTCTATTCCGAAATACTGAGAGCTTGAAGGAGGAGATAAATAAACACTGAGCGCACCATAGAGGACAAAGCTAGGGAACAGGGAGGGGGGGACCATGAGGCTTTCTAACTTGTGATGGTAACTGCTACTGAACATCTCCGGGAGTCTGGCTTGTGCTGGGTGTGGAAAGGAGAGGTCTGGTTCTTGTGCATTTCTTTCATAATGATGACATGGAGCAGCAGCTTTGACTGGCTTCTCAAATCCCTGGGTACTCCATCTTTTAGCATTGTCTCATAGCCACCCCTCCTCCCCAGGGCTGTAATTTTTCGGGATGGCAACATCATGCCTTTAGAAGAAGGGCTTTAAGGCTTGCATTTTAAGTTTTTTCTTGCAACTCCCTTCCCCAAAATATATAAGCTATTCATTGCTTAAGCTGATAGTGTACCAGTTTTGTTGTTTCCATGTGGGGATTAAATTTTAGCTTGCGTTCAAACTGTTTTGTCACGGAGATACCAAATTTTCCTCTGTGTGGTACAGAGCAGTAGCATGGCAAGGTAGCAGGCAAATATTTAAACACTGATAGAATAAGTGTTTGAATAGAATCCAGTGTCTGAAAATGACTGGTTTTCTTTTTCCTGGTTCTTGAGTGAACCTTCATTTGCTTTTCTCAAATATAATTGCAACTGTCTACTCTAAATCCAGAAGTATATTTTACTTCACTTTTAAAATACCATATACAGAGAATTTATAATAACTGGGATCTAAGTAGCATAGTTGACTTTAATTTCACTATCAGACATAGCTTCTGTCTTAGAACCAGATGACTTCAGGAATTTACAGAAGCCACAGATGGAAGCTGATGTAGATGACTGGTTTGTTTCTGTTTTTGTTTTTGTTTTTTGCCCAGGAGTTAGACAATTGAACCAGGGTGTGCTCTTGATGAAAACCCAATACTTTAAATTGTTAGTAGCAGACCATTTGGCCTCTTAGGAAGTGGTAACGTTCTAAATTAATGTGGATCTGTTGAATTGTGCCCACTGTGTATTTTTGGAAATGTTCTTCATTTGCAGCACTTTTCCCTTAGGCATCTTAGAGCAGTAATTTAGGATAGCTATCTGTTTTGTTCTGAGTAGTTTTCTTGAATTCCTCTCTTTCTCCTATGTTTCGTTTGTTTGTTTTCATTTGCCTTTAGTATTTTATTTAAAGGAGGAAGGGAAGGGGAAGTAGGTGCTTCTAAAAATCTGTTTTTGGCAATTCATGCAATTTTTTGGATAAGAGAGACTTAAGAAGGTTCTGATCCCCTCCCATTTTTCTTTTTCTGCTTTTCCCTATATCAAGGGGAAAGAGAAGGAATAGAGAAGGAGGAAAATCTTTTTGTTGATAAGGATGTCCAGACTTTCTGTATGTCCCCAAATGTCTCTAATTTATGGACACATCTAATAAAATAAACAGCCCTGGAAATATCAGTGGTTCTTGACGAATAAGACTATTGGCTTGGTTCTGAATTTCTCATCAGGTCTGTCTGAGCAATAGGAATGTCCACATGCAAATCTAACTTTGTCAGTAGAACAGTGATGGAAATATTCTATGTATCCCCTGTCCGATACGATAACCACTAGCCACATGTAGCTGGGAGCACTTGAAATATAGCTATTATAAGTAAGAAACTGATTTTTAAATTTTCATTGATTTTTTTAGTTAAAGAGCCACACATGGCAAGTGGTTACCTTCTTAGACAACATAGTTCTAGTCTTATCTCTGTAGACTATCTCTATAGAGATATCTCTTAGACTATCTCTATAGCTCTATCTCTATAGAGCTGTGATCTGAATTTTTGTTCTCTCTGGTTGTCCAACCTTACGTGCTTCCTGGCGCCAGATATGGTCAGGTCCTGAAATGAATGTGGAGCATAGTAAACTGGCTTTATAGACAATTTCAGTTGTCCTTTTCCACATAAATGTTATTGCCTGCTCCGAATATTATACTTGCTACCCCCTGGTTGCCAACATCATCCTTTGCAACATTTAATGGACTTTTATTTTTTAAATTATTTCCAAAGCATCATGGCAAGATGACATACAGGTTATCTTTTATGTGTTATTATTAAGATAAGCAATCAGAAACTTTTGTTTTCTTTTTTGTCTGCTCTGTGGTCTAATCAGCCAACTGTGTGCAACCTGGTTTTCATGCTTAGTATCTTTATTCTGTCACTACCAGGCATAAAGAAGTTTGCTATCTGAATTCAGGAGGTAAATGCTCCTATTCAGGATTACCCTGGGTTAATGACAGGTCGCATCTTTCCAGATACTCTACTCTTGGGTAACCATCATAATGAACTCTGTAGGAATGAACATAATGATTACTGTCTGGACTCCCTGTGGTGGCTTCAAAATTGCCTTGATGGGGTGAGACAGTAGTTCGTTTAGCTGGTAGACTCGATCAGTTCTTGAAGGTGAAATTTCTCTCCCTTGTAATCAGTAGAGATGCAAATGTTTTACATGCCTTGCTCTTTTCAACGAATAACATTTAGACAGTAACTGGGGGTGAGCTGGGCTTCTGCTCTTATACCTCTAGAACCCAGGTCTCGGTGTAATGCTGATTTGTGGACTGGTGCAGGAAAGCTTATTTAGGTACTGCAGTGACTCAGTGTCCTTGCTTAGGTTTCAAGGCAAATCTGCCTTATGGTGAGTTTTACTGAGCACAGTGTAATTAATAAGTAAAAACACCTTTTCTCCCTAAACCAACATTTGTTAAATGCTCAGTCTGTACAGATTCCTTTGCTGGGACATTGTGGAGGTGGTACAAAGGTAATTGACATGGTTTCTGCTCTCAGAGGTGTCTACCTGTCTAGTGAAGGAGACCACTATGTACCAATAATGCAAGAATATAAACTGACATCGGGGGAAGGGCTGAGGGTATTAGGAAAGTATCTATACCTATGTGCCCTTCTCTAGAGAGTAAGCTTCTCAAGGGCCAAGACTACTCTTCTGTATATGAAATTGTAGAGTGGATGGAACATTATTGAATGGAGATAAACTCAGCATTTAAAAATAATTTGCATAGGCTCTGAAAGTCTTACTAACATAAGAATACTAAGAAATGTTGATCATATTAGGATTGTCCATCCAAGGAAACCATTTTAATGTTTGGGTGTATCTGATATTTGGGTGTATCTGATAGGTTAATCCTATGACTGTTTACCACATTTCCTTTACCTAAGAGTGTATCAGGGATTCTGCCTTGTTGTGTTGTGTTCCATTACACTATTTATCATTTTCTTTGGTGGAAAAATGAAGGCATATGTCTACAAGGTAGTATTAACTGACCAGTTTGTTAGTATCAAGGTTAATGCCGCCTGCTCATTTTGTTAGCAAATTGCAGATTAGATTGTAAAGAATTTTTCTCCTTGAAATCAGGACACAGTAGTTCTGGGAAGCTGTCTTCTCCTTTTCCCTGTTCCCCTCCCCCTGCCTTTTTGTTAGAATGGGTTTTTCTGGAGCCTGCAGTAATTTCTTCTTCTTCTTCTTTTTTTTTTTTGGCTTATGCACTCTAAAGGTAGAATTTCTGCCAGTGAAGGTTTCCAAATGAAATATGATCTACCATTTACCATTTGTATTCCTATTGGATTAGTGATGATCTAGCAATTATAATGTCCTCTTTATAAGTCCTGAGTCTTTTTTTTTCCCCCCAAAAGGAGTGTTAACATCAAGAAGTGTGAATGCCATTCTAGAATCATTCTCTCTCTTTTTCTTGTTTCTTTTCCTCTTTTGTTCTGTAAGACTTGGACTTTTGTCTGTTCCCAGTGTCTTTATTTGTGCCATTTCAGGACTAGGCAAAAACTTTTAGCAAAAATTCTACAGCTAGTGAGGCAAAGGTATAGTTCAGAATAGCAATAGTATCAAAGATCCCTATTATAAGGAGGAAATCTTAAAGTCAAATTGATTGCCATAAATTTTATTTGCTCAAGAAACCCAAAATGTAATGTTTTATTCAAAGCCTTTATATAAAAATAACAACAGGGGATGTCGAGAACAAGGATCACAACATCTGATGTATGGCTTACACTCATTGGATTCTCTGTGAACACCTGTTGAGTGAGTGGAACTATTTCCCAGGCATCCCGTGTTACAGTAGAAATTACCGTAGGTATCGCTATACAAGGGGAACGTGATTTAATCTCTACATAACCAAAATTTTTTTTATGGTGAGGTACTATATGCATGGGAATTTGCTTGCTCTATAAAACTAAAAGGCTTAGAAATTATGTGTGTGTTTCAAGAGACATAATCAGTAGAGCTAAAATAGCTGACTGCTCTAACCTTAGGAACCAAACACATATATTTGGTGAAAATCTCTCAGCTGATAAATCTTACATATTATTTATTAGAAGGTGGGATTGAGTATCCTTTTCCACTAACATCAACATATCTCAAGGGGCAACTTTAAATTCAGTTCGTTTTTACTAAAAAATTCACAGATCATTTGGAGGCACATTAACTGTGTTTTGAGGAGGAACTAATACCTTCACATCAACAAAGGAAATTTCATTGAGAGAATTTGTT